CGTCAGCGTGCCGCGCCGGGCCCCAAGGCAGCGAGAGCACTCACCACTCCATCTGGCCGCTATCCGCGCCCCGCTGTATCCGAGGGGGTCTCGCGCCGCATCACCACATCACTTTCACTGCACTGCACTATCGCGACCACACTGCACTCCGCGCTGCGGGCCTGCGGGCCTCCGGGCCGACAGCCGGGGGGCTGCTGGGGCTGCTGGGGCGGCATCCGCAGCGCGCCGTCGCCGTCGCCACCGTCGCCGTCGAGGCGGCCGTGACGGGACTGGGTCTTGTTGTCACAGCTGTGGCGTAGCGCTCGCGTAGCGCCGCCAACACGCAGGCCGCGGCGGCACTCGCGAAAAAGGCACGCGTGCGGCACGGCACGGCACGGCGGGGCGCGGCAGGACACGGGCCGGGCCGCGGTGGCGCACGGCTGCCGGCGCGGCGCGGCGCTAGGACAGGTCGCGGCGTTCGGTACCTCCTCGACCGGATCGCGAGGAGGCGCGGGGATTGACTGAGTCAAGTCGAGCCGTCGTGCCGAGCCGAGCCGGACCGAGTCGAGCCGGGCCGGGCCGAGCCGAGCCACTCAGACGGGAGGCGGTTCGCGGCCCAGCGGGTTGGTTTCGCAGCCGCAACGGGGCTGGGGCCGCGGGCGGGCAGCGGCGGGCTGCATTGCGGGCCTCAAATGCGAGCCCGGAGCCGCAAAAATGACGCGCCGCCTGCCTTTCTCGCACCCATGCAACGCGCCGAGTCCGAGAGTCCTTTCCTAAATCGGAGAGCAAAACTACCAGCAAGGCCTCGGCATATCTCGAGAAGAACAGGCCGACCCAGGCCGAAGGTCGGCCTGGGCCTGAAGGACGCCGGTCGAGGACAGACATCGAGTGCAGACAAGGCCTAAGGCTTCAATCAGCGTCGGGGTCCTTCAGATTGCCCGAGTACTTGCCGCAGCCCCGCAGCCACAGTGCGGACCGTCCAAGGGACCGGCTGACAGCAGGCGGCATTCACAGATACGCAGCAAATGCGGCAATCGCCACAAAACAGCTCAGGCAGCGCCACGGCAGCGCTAACAAGCCTTATCGTCGAGTGGGGCGAGCGGAGAGAAAGAGGGGGGGGAGGGGGGTGTTGGGGCCTACGGCACTGATAAGTGGGACGGAAAGCGTTTGCGAAAATGGTGGCGTGAATGGTGCACGGGACGTCGCTCCCGCCCTGCAGCAGCCCGGCACGGCCGGCACGGCCGGCAGCAGAGTGCCACAGAGTACCGCGGGTAGTTTGCGGCTCGAGTACAGTTCCGTTGGCTGCGATTGCGAGCCCCAAGCCACCGGCTCGGCGCGGCCAAGCCAAGCCAAGCGCTGACCCCGAACAACCTTCGGCGCAGTTACTTGAGATTCCCGCCTGCACCACAGCCGCGCGCTGCCATTGCGCTGCCAGCCGCAGCCACCAGTGCAGTGACAAGTGACAATAGTGAACGATATTAATGAGACGCAGTGAGCGACCGCATCGGCAGCAGCGAAGCGCAGTCATGCTGCATTATGCTGAGCGAGGATAAAAAGGGATGTCCCTCTTATAAATTATTAATCTCTAAAAGTAGCGGTTTTTGCTGACTTTCTCTAAGTGCTGACTTAAGACCCTACTCTTTCGTGCCCCGCCTCGAAAATGCCTTAAGCACAGCTCGTTCGGGAGCACCAGTCTCGCAAGTTGGTCAAAAGGTGATTGAGCCTCTGTAAGTGGCGGTAATTGTTACCCAAGAATATGAATACCGAGGCGGGTACGCGGAATACTTTGAGTGACTACCCTCTCGCCCTGGCGCAAGACATGAACGCGGATGCGCGAAGTTCAAACCGGACGGGCACGGTTCGGCGCCTGGCGGGTAGGCAACCCCTCGGGCGTTCGCTGCGGCGAAGGCCCAGCCCGCGCCCGGTGAGTAGGCAACCCCTCTGGCGCGAGGGGGACGCCCCAGGACTCCGGGTGTGTAGGCCACCCAACTGGCTGGCTGTCCTGGCGCGAGGCGCGCTCTAGCGGCCGCAGAGAGCACTAGAGAGCCCTAGCGCAGCCCGGCACATTTACACGACACGGTGAGCCGCGCGCCTTCTGGACAGTTTCAAATTCACCCAAAGTATCTGGTAGAGGTAGCAAAACGTACAAGTTTTTCCGAACAATAGTCACCAAAGGGTGGCAGCAAGCAAACTTGAGGTTGAAAAATGAGATGCGAGCACGCGTGTCATGTGTTGCTCGTGGAGGTCCAGATTTTGAGCCTTCTACCTACCCATGTCGTCCGGCAGCGTCGAGACAAGACAGGGCGTTGCGGGGCGTTGCGGGGCGTTGCGGGGCGTTGCGGGGCGTTGCCGGGCGTTGCCCTCCGTGCCCGCGCAGCCCCGCGCCGGATACGGTAGCCGAAGTCGGGCCATCAAGGAAGACATGAGCGCATGGCACGGCCCGGACAGGCCCAGGGCAGCCCAGGGCGCGGCGGCACTGGTACCCAGCAGGCTAATTTCATATATATGCTTTTATTGGGGCTTTGATTGCAGCGCCTTCGCCGCCTGACCAGGCCCGGCCACAGGCCCGGCCCAGCCCGGCCGCGCGTACGTGTGAGTGTGCGTGCGTGTGTGTGCGTGCGTGGACGTGTTGTTGATGGTGCACACGGCGTGTAGGTTAAATGCTAGACGAGTGTTCGTCCGCTAGATCAAGAGCGCAGGCCCGACACAGCGGGCACGGCAGTGTAAGTAAGGCACGCCGGGCCTCTTCCCGCCTGACGCGTCAGGTTGGCGGGGCGGGGAAGGGGGAAAGAGGTGGACTTTCCTCGACTTCCAATTTTTGGATTCGGACACAGAGGAAACGCAGTTTGCTGCACCCTGCCTTTTTTGAAGGGTTCCAGGACAAGGGGTGGGGAGGGGGTGAGGGTGGGGGTGAGCCTAGCCGCCCCGCCTAGCCCCGCCGCCCCCACTGTACTGGCCGTGGCGTTCGGCCAGTGGCCAGTAGACTTGTGAAACACGGGCGATCAATTAACACCGCGCGGACTTGGCCGTGCCGTGCCACGCCGTGCCACGCCGTGCCACGCCGCGCACGCCGAGGCAGGCCACGACGCCGGCCTCGCAGCAACAGCTGGAACGGTCACGGATGCCAAAGCCGTTGCTGCCAACAGAACAAGACTCGAGAAAAAAATATTGGGCCTAATACGTCCAAACGGACATGGATAATACGGTCACGATAGAAATGTTGTCAGATCATTTGAAGAGAGACCATGCAAAAATGGCGGGGAGCAACGCGAACGCGCCCGACGAGGACACTGTAGCCCAGCCTTCCTGTCTTCCACTCGGGGGGTCGCCCCCTTCACCACCGCGGCCGCCCCCGGCCTCAGCCTCCCCACAACGGCCACCCTCTCGGTCGCAGGAGCAGGGCCAGCAGGGCCAGCAGGGCGGGCTGTTTGTGAGTTGTCGCGCGGACGCCGCGGACACCGAGAGGCCCGCGGTGGCGGTGGCGGGCCGTGGCACTGCGGCTGTGCCTGGCTGTGCCTGGCTGTGCCTGGCTGTGCCGGCCTGTTGGCCCTGCCGTCGTTTAGCCAAAGCCGGCTAATGGGAGCAGGGCAGGGCGCTGCAGAACGGACAGGTACGGCCAGGTCCGCCTCTCTCGCACCCCGACGGCACGTCCACTAGTGCGAGAGAGACAGAGCGACGAAAGCGCAGTTCGGAATCAGCCTGCTGGCCGGCCGCCCCCGCCGCGTCGGCCGCGTCCCGTGGAGGGCAAGCGGCGAGCTGACGGCGTAGCGCAGTGGAGGTACCGGCCGCCAGACCGTCCAACGAGACGAGGAACACCTAGGTACACCCGGGTACACCTGCACAGCGACCACAGCGCACCAGCGCGCCGCGTCAGTGCCCCCGCCGCCCCTCCGCCCCTACCCCAGATGGACTTGTACTCGCGGCTGTGACCGTGGCTGCGGAGGCCAGAGCGAGGCCACCCTACACGGCCACAGGCCGGGGAAAAAGACTGGGTGGGAAAGCAGGCTAGCATTGGTCAATCAACCAACAATCGCAGCTTTTCACGGCGCAAGCTAGCTTCAAAATAAATGTAAAAACATCGGATTAATAAACCGGTCGTATCCGCCACCCTCGTGGTTCGGTTGGTTCGTTGTGTGCTCTGTGGGCTCTGCGCCGGCCGCCCACCTGAACTAAGCCAGGCCGGCCAGGTCACCTCCACCATGCATGTCCTGATGTGCATCCTTCATTAGCACTGCGCAGCACGGCGTGGCGCGGCACGGCGCGGCACGGCGCGGCACGGCACGGCACGGTTCCGGGAACGGCCAATGCGGCGCCCTTTGCCCGCCCTTTGGCTTTGGCCTGGGAGCCCTTCGTGCCAAAGGTAGCCGGAGGCTCGATTCTCGATTCCGAGAGAAAGGTAGGAGGGCGGTCGACGGCGTCCTCTCGGGGTGCCCGCCGGCGGCCCCGGACGGACGGACCCACCGGTCGCACCTGACACCTGCAGGGGAGTCCTCCCCCACCCCTTTGTTTTCCCTCCCACACCCTTAGTCAGCAGTTCAACAACTCTTTGGCTGGTTTCAAAAGTTGGAGTGGAAAAAAAGGCTGCCCAAAATAAAACAACCAAAAGTTTTTGAAGTCACTGCAGGGGACAAAATTTAGGATATCTTGTGGTGAACATAATTTATGACGAGGAATTTGGGGTGGCAGAACTGGCAAGCACAGAATGCGCATGACAGAGCAAGGAAAAATACTTCCACTGCGAATTCCAAGGACTCCGCAGCCTGGCACGTTCTACGTCAGGTGAGCCCATTCTAAACTGGAAATGGAAATACCATCAGAAAATTTGTACCAGCATAATGGAAACCTTTGAATGCCTCACTTTGAAAGACAATCTTCTATAAGCTTCAAGAAATTAGGAACAAGTAACTCATGGACCCCTGTTTGCAACGCAGCACAGCCTGCTTCCACTTGTCCCCACTCTCACCCACCATAAAAGCAACAATTTCATGCCAGATGAAATAAATTTCGTACATTTTTCTTACCTGAACATTTGAACAACGTGCTGGAACAGTCCTGTAATATCCATGGGATGAGTCTGTTCTATGTGAACATCCAGATTTGGTTAGGAAACTCTTAGCCCCCTTCCTTGTTGGTCCAAGCACGGCTAAGTTTCGTCAAAATTGGATGGCATGCTATAGCGAAATCACGGATTCAACACTTGAATGTCGGAAAGTCCTCGTCAAAAATAAAAACTGAACTCTTGGAAGTTTTGCTCCAAGCTTGAAAACTTAAAACCAATACAGCGAGGCTTTCGCAAGCCGCAAGCGGCAAGTTTGTCTGCTGTGTGTCGTGTGTCACCGTCACGTGTTTCCTTATTCGCAGATCTGTTTGTTTTCAGAAAGACTATACGCAGGGCCACCAATCTCACTCCTGAAGCAGTCCTGAAGTAAAGTAAGTAGCCGGTACATCGAGTACTGCAGGGGTGTTACCGTTGTTACAACGGTGTTACTTCCCACAAAAAAGAAGAAAAAAAATACGACTGACTCACACGCACACTCGCGCGACACAACGGTGGAGGGGTGAAGCGCTGCGTTGGACTAGCATCTTACTTTGACTTGGCACCCCTCGACTACATTTTGCACCTCGTTACCTCCGTGAGATATTTGTCACTCTCCGCAGCCATCATTTTCTCGCATCATAACGAGACTCTATTGTCTCGTTTAGACTGCACTCGCCACGGCACGCGTCGCCCGAAAAAAAGAAAAGAAAAGTTGGAAACAGTCAAAGAAGCTGATAAAAAAATTTCAAAACTGAAAAACATTGAAATATTTCTCTTTAATCTTATAAAATTGCTGGTCTTTTTTAAATTAATGATGGCCATCCCCTCGGGCGTGGGCCTCAGCCAGCGTCCCCCTCTCCCTCCTCGTCCTCCCCGCCGCGCCCCTCTCTTTGCCGATACAGGTACCGCCACCGCCGCGGCACCGCCACACCGCATCCTTCACCGGCGGACAGACCGCTCACAATAAAAATTATAATTTTATGGCGCCAATAGTCTACCAGTTGCATCGGGTACCTCTCCACTTTTGTAATGCCCTCTTTCAAAAACTCTACTATAAAATGTGTCTTGCGTCCCCATTTTTGGTCCCGCGTTCCCCATCCGACGGAAGGACACTCCGGAGCGCCAACGGCGGCGGCTTCGACTTCCGGCGAAACCAACGGTCACTCGCGAGCTTGATCGGCGGATTTTCTTCCGAGTATTTTTGTTTTGCGAGTGCTGCTGCCGCCACTCAAGAGCGAAGCTACAAAGAGTCAAGATGTGCACGCGACAGGACGCCATAAGCTGCCCCGTTTTAGCTGCAAGCTGCTTCGCGTCGCGGCGCCGGTCGCGTCCCGGTGGCGGTGAGGCGGTCGGCGTTACGCGGACGAAGGCAGCCTTCGCCTTCGCCTTCGCCGCCTTCGCCTTTCGCGTCGTTCGTTACGTCGATCGGCGCCGCGACGCACCGCGGTCGGCGGCTCGGCGGCTCGGCCACCGGCGACAGACGCAGACGAGTATGACAAATTTGAATAACCAGTGACACTTTACTCTATGTCGGAAAAAGCGTGGCCTCGCTCGCTATCGCCCAGACTGTTGGCCCGCGTCGCCGCGCAGAGTGCGCCACAGTGCTCGCTGGGCTCGGCGTCGCCCCCGCCCGGGCTGCTGCATAGCGCATAGTTTCGAGGCCGGCGGGACTCCGGGACACAGAGCGGCACAGTTTTACTTTCCCACGGCTGCCTTCGACCAGCAGCCCCTCGCTGACCGACAGCGACGACGCCAGGCAGGCTTTGCAGTGAGGTGGTTTACAGCACGGAGCAGCGCCGACGACGGGACGACGGGGCCCTCGGGCGGCACGGCCACGGCGCGGCCCTCCAGGGCGTGGCGCGGCGTGGCGGAGCGTTTACCTGGTGAGCGGCGTGCTGCAGTGTGCTGCAGTCGCTTGGGTCCTTGGAGTAGGTCGCCTTCGCCTGCCTTCGCCGGTACAGTTGAGTAATAAATCGTGAAAAACTTTGTGCACCTTGAGCCGCCGAAGAGAAGCCGCCACCCACCCCACCTGCCGCGCGAAGCACTTGCCCGTCGAATCGCACCGGATCTCGCCCCGCTTGTTGTGGCCGCCGAGGTGGCCGTCGACGCCCCCGACCAGCGCGTGACCCACTTGCGGGCGACGGGAGGGAAGTCGCCCGCGCCGGCCCCACGCACGGCCAGCACGGCCTCCCAACGGATAGCGCCCTTATGCGGGAGGCCCGCCGCGCCGCCATAAACAAATCCGACGACAGCGCGGGAAAAAACATTCGGCAGAAAAACGGGGATATACATAAAGGATGCAAATGAAGGCGAGAGCAGCTCGGCGGGGAGAAGCTGCACGCACACATTGGGATTCGGATTCGAGCACATTGAGACCCTGAACCGCAATCCCGTGCGACGCGTCATCGCGTCGTTGATTGGATGGCACACAAAGTGTAGCGGACTAAAACCACTGCAACATAACGCAAGGACACACACGGGGTGTGCCAGACTGACAGTTCGACAGACAGACTGACACACAGACGGACGGCCAGTCAGACAGACAGACAGACAGACAGACAGACGGACGAATGGAAATACAGACGCACGGGCCTACGGGCCGTCACAGCCGTCGCGTCAGGAAGCCCGGCGTGGTGGGGGCCCCGGGCCCCGGGGTGCTAAGTGATTGCGACAACTGAACACAGCCGTACGCGAGGGCAGAGCGCGGCGTGGAGCGGCGTGGCGCGGAGTATCATCGCATAGCACGGCGTATCATAACGCGACACGCATCTCTGCAAGGTTTCGAACGGAAAGAACACTCCTATCCGCGCGCGGTGAGGCCCAAACGCTCTCAACTAATGATTGCTTTTTATTTGTGCGGTTTAAAACAAAAGTTCAAAAAAAAACGTTAACGCTAACGCTAACGTGAAAGCAGATGATACTTAAGACAATGTTTATTGAAATGTATGAATGTGACATTTTGTCAATTTCTTTCAAAGAGTAAACATTTGGAACTCTTTTTTTGACAAATTTCTTACAAATGGTAATTCATGAAAATGCCAATTTTAGTATAACTTTTGAATATCCTAACGTGCAATTGTTTTGTGTTAAACATGTTCGCAATGACGGTGGGACACTCATGTCCGATACCACTTGTGTTGGGTATCATTTCGTTGTTTCAACGCGAGGATGCACAATTTGGTGGCTAATCACATAAATACTCAATACCCGTAAAAGTTGTGTTCGGTACTAGGCCAAGGCGCCTTGCGGCACGCGGCGTGTCAGCCACATCTCCAAGCGGGGCCGGCCGGCCGGCGCGCCACCCGAACCCGACCTCAAGATAGATAAGCAAGAGTGGTGCACACAGCCGACTGCCGGCGCGCCGCTTCTCGAGAGGGGCAGGGGTTCGAGGGGGCACTGCACTATGCGTTCTACGCACTCAAGGTTCAAGTGGGTGTGTGTGTGGACAGTTGCGGGGTGTGGCGGGGCGCGGCGGGACGTGGCGTCTCGGCAGAGGAAGAGGCGCGGGGGGCAGCTGCGCGATGCGTAGCAGCGTCTCGTGACGAGAGGAAGGGGAGCGGCACCGCGCAACGTGAGGGAGGCACTTCATGAGTACTAGATAGCTGGGTTTATACGCCCGAGGTTATACGCCGCGCGCGCAACCTGAGCCCCCGCAGGCGCCCCGATTCATGGTGCGGCGCGCGGTGCGGCGCGGCGCGGTGCGGCAGACTGCGGGCCCTCCGCTCATAATCTTCTAGGCAGGCCAGCCAGCCGCTGCCTTGCCAGCGAGGCGCTCGGCCTCTTCTAGGCTTGCTAGTCAGGCAACGAGGCAACTGCTGCCTGGCTAGCCGGAAACTCGGTACTCTCTGCACGAGAGTACAAGCACGCTGATACGTGAACGTATCATCTGCTAAAAATATCAAAAAACGCTGTCAGTATTATTTAAAGCTGCCTCTGGTCCGGTTTTGGAAACGGCCAGTCTAAGACGAGGCGGCCTGCCCGGCCCTGCCCTCCCTCGTCCCCCTGAGACTGAAGACGGCGGCGGCGGGCGCTAGAGGGCGCTAGCGCCGAGCGTCAGCGTGTTTGAGCCTTCGTTAGCGTTGGATGCGGCGATGCGGCGATGCGGCTCTTAGCGCCCGTTCAAGTTGTTATTAGTATCAATAATGTCGGCACCTGGAGCACCTCATCACAATCAACTCCTCGGAGGCGAGGACGAGCGGCGACCGCATCACTGCCCCGCATTCGGCCGTCGCTCACCGCCGACAGGAGTATCTCATGGTTGATTAGGACTTCCAGCGTGTCGACTTTGCGTGGCGAGGCTTTCTGCGTGCGCGTCGCGGCAGCAAAATTTTAAAACAAACCGCAGGATCACGCGGGAACGAGGAGTCTCTGGGGTCACATTGGCCGCGCCAGGTCGCGACTCCCAACATTTCCGAATATAACTTGGCCAAATACCCTCATGCAAGCCCAGCACAGTTTAGCGTGGGTATGACGTCACACGTGGACTCGTGTTCTGAGTCCAGGATATACGTTCAAGTCCCCGGCCGCGGCGAGACCGGCCAGACGCCGTGTTTGCAGTCGGCACATTTGAGCGCCGGACTGGTCCGCGCTGGCCGCAGGAAAACTGGCCAGTGCACACAGAATCGGCCAACGGCCATAAAACCGCGAAAGAGGAAAATCGGGCGCCTAGCGTCGGCTAGCACCAGAGACGAGCATCACCTCGCCTCGGAGCCCCAAAGCACGTCACCGCAGCGGGTGGGCGGGGCCCTTGGCGCGGCCAGCAGCGGCGCGGCCAATGGCGGCGCCCCCTTCCCCGGCCGGCCAGCCAATGGCAGCGCCGCACTCGCGCGCGCCAGCCGCACCGGCCCGGCCGCCCGATTTGACTCGCATCGGCTCTGCGACCCAAACAACAGGAAATGCAGAAGGAGAGGACTTTCGAAAGCCACTGATTTGAGAGCAGTTTGTTAGTCCTGCCGCCCGGCAGTGCGCAGTCTTTAGACAACTGCCCCTGGTGCATGTTAACTTCGTCTTTTGTTGTTGTTTTGTAAAAGCCATTTCCGATTTTGCCAAAGAAGATGAGCGTGTTCGGCATGGTGCAAAAAAATAAATTGCAGTCCAAAATTCCAAATAGACACACCAACTCCTGAATTGCTCGTTCAAAATCAGTGGGGAATTCATCCCTGCACCCTTCTTGAATACGATACAACTCATCGGGGGGGGGGGGTAGAAGACAAGGAGAAGCTGTTCGGACCGTATGATCGAAGCGTGTGAGCGCCCCTTTGCCTTGCCTCGCTGTGAGTGTGTGTGTGTGTGTGTGTGTGTGAGAGAGAGAGAGAGAGAGAGAGAGAGAGAGAGAGAGAGAGAGAGAGAGAGAGCGTGTCCGCTGGACGTTGTACACGTCCGTGTGTGTTTATGCTCGTAATTAAGTCGTCCCACTGTTGGCCGCTGCCTTTGAAGCTCGCCGCCCCAGCAGTCCGCCCTGCCGCTGGCCCTGCAGGCTCCAGGAGTCCAGGAGCGGCTCCAGTAGGACACAGTCCGGACGCAGTGGGCTCCACAGGGCCTTCTGACTGTGGGGATCCGGACCGTGCAGTGATCCTGCAGGGCGCGTGGGGGAGATGGCAGGATGAGGGTGTTGTGCAGCTCCTTCGAGACGGGCGGACAGCTCACCGACGATGTGAGTCACAAGTTGCAAGGCCTCCCTGGCGCCATGCCGCCATGCCGACGACCCATGCAGACGACGGCCCGGCCGGCCAGCCTCTCCAACAGTAAACACTGAGCCGCTTGGGAGCCTTCTCGGAAAAATCTCGCTGTTTGATCTTCGAGGCAGCCTAGAATAGTCATAAACGTCACCGAAATTTGTGTTCAGAGCGGCGTGGCGCCCGAACCGAACTGCGACTCCTACACGTGGAGGACGTCCGGAGTGTTGTCAACAACCAGCTACTGGCCATTACTGGGCAGTGCGGTGGCAACTACACTGGACAAATGAAGCGATAAGGCGACTAAGTGCTTTCAGGCGGACTGAGGCCGGCGCGCCGGGCCAAGATGGCGGCGTGCGTGGCGGCGGCGGCGGCGGCGGTCCGCGGGGCGCTTCTGGGCGCCGCGACGCCATGGCCGTCAGGGCGTCCCGGGTCCCGGGGCGTCCGGGGGAGGGGAGCACACCGTGGCGGGGTGGGGTGGGCCTCGACTGCCCCGAGCGGCCGGCAGCGCCGCAGCCCAGTCCTCTGAGTCCTCTCGGTTCCCAGTCCGCCTCCCTCCGCCGCCGCAGTCGCACCGCGCAGACCGTGCACCGGGACGAGCACGCCGACGCCACCCCCGCACGCCGCGCACGCCGCCTGGCCGCGTGTAGGAATGTCGCGAGTGCTGCCACAGGATTAACCAGTGTTTGTGTGTGTGTGTGAGTGAGAGAGTGCGTCGCAGAGCCAAGGATACCCCCGCAGTGCGCCCCAGCCCCTCGTGGGGCCCCCTGCGCCCCTGCGCCCCCTCGCCGTCCACGCGGCGCCCCTTCTTGTCCACGGTCCGGAGGCCGCCGGCCCCGCCACCCCACGGCCACGCTGACGGCGGTGGACGGCATCCTGCTGCCCGTCCTGGGCCTCCCCTTCCCGACGGTGGCGTCCCTCGACTACTCCAGGTGAGCCCTCGCCAGCCCGCACAGCCCGCCGGCACTCTCGGTGGCTCCCGGCAGATCAGGGCAGAAGAAAGACCTGCTGGAATATTTGGTCCGTTGCGTGCGGCAATGTTTGATACTTTTATTTTTAAATCATATCAAAATGACAGTAGTATACGCACCCCATACCGCGGCGTCGTCCCACGGATCGGAAGGGCAAAGCGAAAGAGCGGCGGCGGCCTGACTGTGCCATGCAAATGAAGCCGATTTCTGCCAAACCGGGGAGGCAAAAACGTGTGCAGACGCACGCGCCTTGATTGGAAGAAGAAGACGCGCTCGTGCGCTCGGGTTCGGGTCGTCGCGGTGCGTCGCGGCGCGTCGCGGTGGGGGTGAAGGTTTACGGTGGGCATGATCTTTGGCGCGGCCGGGCGCTTCGTAATTCACACCTGCAATCGTACCAAGGTGTATGTACATCGTGCATCGTACGCGCGGGGGCCATGACCGAGATCGACCGACATGCAGCGCGCCGCGTGCCACTGGAACAGGAACCAAGCTGAACAACAATTTGTTGCTGTTGTTATTGTTGTTTTTTTTCTTAAAGTTCATTAGTGTCAAAAGTACGAAAAGGTCCATTCCGACTTTCCACGTTTATTATTTAAAGCGAAATGTCAGTGAACCGAGATTCGACCCGTTGGAACGTCGGCGCCGCCGACAAGTAGTGTTGGTTCTCGGCGGTCTTGACAGTGGGGTGGCTCCATTCATCGCGCGGCGCTATCAGGTGCGATTGCCGTTCCCCAACGCGCAAACAGGCAGATCTGCAGACCGATTCCGAGACGGGGCGGCTCACGAGTGCGAGAGAGACAGGGCGACGGAATCGGTCTGCCGCGCGCCCCGCAGGCTGGAGGCTCCAGCGTGCCGCCACACTGCGAAGAACAAGCCGGGAGGGTGACATCCGGGCTGCGCGCTGCGCGGGACGGCACGCTTTGTTGTGAATATTAGATCAAAACTGGCGCACCTGCCGCGCACACCTGTAATTTACCATCTCCGCCCTTTTTAGTTGTAGTTGGGTTTTTTTTTGCGCGGAGCTGGAATACTAAATGCCGCCCGTAGCCGCGGCCGATGCGGCCGACATCAAAGCGGCCCACCCACTGCAGGCAAGCTGGAGGCCGCGCTGCGCCGCTCAATGGGCCTTACCTGGCGGGGGCGGCGCTACCTCCACCGCTACCCCCACCCCCAGGCCGCCCCCGCCGCCCCCGCCGCCCCCGCGGCCCTTCCCGGCGGCTCCCTGTGCCGGCCATAAAGGAGATGACGCACTCCGGAGGCCGGGGCCGCAGCGGCGCGCGCCGGTGTCTCCGGGCTTGAATTATTTTCAGCCTTTTTTCGTCGGCTTATTAGGCCAGTCGTATCTCGAACTGCGTCGCGGCGGGCATGGGTTCAAACCCTCCGCCTGATTTTTTTCTCATCCGCTGAACTTTTTATGGGGGAAGACAGACTTGCGCGAGTTTGGTGGCGCCTTTTTTTCAGTGTGAACCGATATTGGTCCGCAGGATGGCGCAGTCCCACATCCTGTCCGCCATGGAGTCCGAGCTGTCGGCGGGGCGGGGCAAGGCGGACCCCACGGAGCGCGACCTGCAGGTGTCCCTGGACGACCGGGACCTGTGGGTGCGCTTCCAGAGCCTCACCAACGAGATGATCGTCACCAAGAACGGCAGGTGGGTCCTAGTGTGTTAGTTGTAGTGTATCGCACCGTCCCGGTTTCCCGCCCAAACAGCGCGCGCTGCGTCCGCGGCGTCCGCACGGTGAGAGGGGGGAGGGGCCCCTCGGTATAAAAATGCCGTGTTTGTAGAAAACATATTCCGTGAGGAGGCCCGAGTGCGCTGGGCTGGTTGGTCCGGCTGGCTTGCTCCTCCGGACGCTGCGGCGTCTGCTGGAGGCGGCTGGAGGCAGGGCTCCAGGCTCCAGGCGGTCCGTGTTGACTCGTCTGCCTCCTGGAATGTCCCCCTCGCATGGCCGCCCGGCCGCCCTGTTGGTCTGCCAGTGTGCCAGACTGCCGCGGCACCGACATGGTCTCGGACTGCGACTCGCCTGCGACGGCCACCTCAACCAATGGCCATCTCGCAGGCAATGACACACGTAGGCAACGGCAGAAAGGGAGTGGGAGGGGCCGGAGGGGACACTGGCATAACAGGCAACCGGCAGGGTCACGGGAAAAGGTGACAGGAACAGCGGAGGGGGCTAGTGTTTGCCGTGGCACCACGGGGCACCCGTTACATCTCAACTCCAGCGCGCTCCAGCGTCCGTGCCCTCTGCCGACAGCCGGACCGACTTTTATGAGACGTGTCTATACCCCGGCCAGGTTAACCTGTCACGTTTATACTCCGTCGGCGTGTCCCCCCTCCCCCCTCCTGCTGCTTCTTCTTCTCTAAACTCTCTTTATGGCAGCCATCCTGCCCAGGACGGCCGGCCCACCTCGAGAGGACGGCGGCGACGGTGTTCCTCCGAGTCCGCCTTTGAGTCTTTGAGTCCCCGCCGCACGTGCCTCAATGTATGCCACGGAAACACGTTTCGAAACGCCAGCCCCGTGTCCCGACGACGCGAGGCTCGACAACAATACTCACCCCCTAGAAATTCAATGAGCTGTTTGCTTGTCGCTGTGAGGAGCCTTTTGATCGCCCTGGGCTTCGGCGAGTGGAGCCCCTTCGCGCGAGGGTGCTGCATCCCGGTGCGCGCGCGTGTGCCCGCGCGGCCTACTCCGCAGGCGCTCCACCGCGCCACCGCTCCCGCGTGCAAGTCTCCACCGGGCGGGGCGGCCAATCAGGGCGCTCCCTTTCGGCGGCAAGTTCGAAGGCGCACCGCTGATGCAGTGTGATCGCGACCCCCACCCGCGTCGTCGGCGTGCTCGACATTCACGGCCGCCTCGTCCGAGCTGGGGCGTTTGGCGGAGTCAGTCTGATGAGAAAGAACAACACTCGGCGGGCGTTTTCGAGAGCAGCCGACGGCGCGGTCAGGCGCGCAGTACGGCGCTACCGGCCGCACGCTCCGAACAATGGCTCTCGCGGCTCCGTCTCTCTCGCTCCCCTCGGGGCCGCGGGACCAGTGCGAGGGAGACGCCGACGGGTGCACTGTTCGGAATCAGCCAGCAGGGCGGCACGGCGGCACGCGACGCAGTGAGCTGACAGATTTAGCGCGGCCGTGTCAGTCAACAGCGCCATCTACCGGCAGAACACACGAATGATCGCCACGACGCGTCTCTGTTTTCTGTTTGGGCATTGTGCGTGCGTGTGTGTGTGCGTGTGCCGGTGCGCGGTGCACTCGCGGCTCTTTTAACAAGCTGTTTGACGCGCCCAGCCGCACAGCGCCGCGTTGCTGCATTCACAGTGTGGGTAACTTGAGCACGCTTCGTGCGATTGGCTCGCTTTGCTTACACTGCTGCCAACCCAACCGAACCGCGCAGTTCTGTCACACAATGTCGCCAACCTGAGCAGCGGAGGCAGTCTTCTTTGCCGTGTGCACGGAGTGAGGAGGCTTTGCCTGTGCATCCGTGATGCTCCGAGCATGAGATTTTCGGAGCCGCGCGCGTGTGTACAGAGATGGCTGCGGTGTTATGGTGGAGACGGGGACGGGGGACGGGCGATGCCAGCGCCCCCTCCCCCGTCCTCCTCACCGGTTGGTCCGTGAGCACACAAGACTTTTTCTCCGGCCTGTCCGTGCGTCTTGTTGAAGGCCCGTCCGTCTCCCTTGGACGGCCGGCTGATTCCAAACAGCGTCATTTCGTCGCCGTCTCTGTCGCACTCGTCGCACGCCTCGGGGGATGCGAGAGAGACAGAGCGACGAAGCGACCCTATTCGGAATCGCTCGGCTGTGTGTGTGGACTTCTCGGACGACAATCCGACAAACCGCGATGGGAGGGCTCCGCGGCGCCGCGGGCATGCCGACGTCCACGGTGCCACGAACCTGCCCCCCCCCTCTTTTCTCCGTCACCCCACGCCTCGCCGCCCCGCCCCTCCGCATGCGTTTAACGCTTGTATAGCTTGCGTGTTCTCACCGCCTGGCCAATTGCATCGCACACCACCGTAAATAATAACTGGGCTACGTGCCGTAGTACGCGTGCGCGCGCGGCTAGTTGTGAATGGCGCGTCCATTCATTCGATGCGGCGAAAAGCGAAAGGCTTCCGAAAAGGCCAGACAGGCAAACGCGGCTGCCTGGCCGAGCGGAGCGGGTAGGGAAGCGAATGGTCGGAAACTGAACACCCGATACTTGTTTTGAGGGGCGTAACTCTTTTCCCACCCTGAGGCTCTGCTGGAATGCGGCGGCAGTACAGTGCTGTCGCTGGGGCGCAGGGCCGCGCAGGCCGCTCTCGGTGCCTGCAGTACAAAACGCCGCGCCGACGGCCTATGAGAACCTTGCGCGGCGGCAGTTCCCAAACGGAAACCGTGCCGACGGCCCCAGGCAGCCTGCCCACGGCCCACCGCCGCAAGGCATACATTGATCCCAGTGCATACCGCGGCACAGCGTGTCACACAAACCCCACCATTCACCGCCCAGCCCACCCGCCCCACTTCCCGCGGACAGACACGGCGGTTGCTGATCCTTGCAAGCCTCGCCAAAGACACTCGACAAAACTTGTTCAAAAAAAAATTAATTGATTTTTTCATTTCCAAACGGCAAAAAAAAATATAATGATGCTTTACCTCCATTTTTCAGACGGATGTTCCCGGTGGTCAAGGTCTCCGTTTCCGGCCTGGATGCGACGGCCATGTACTCGGTTCTCCTGGAGTTCGTTCAGATTGAACAGCACAGGTAGGTGACGCTAGCGAAGAATGAAAATGAACGCAGAAAAGTTTGGACGTTTCATAGAAAATGGCTGACGGAATGCATGGGCAACGCAGGTGGAAGTACGTGAACGGCGAGTGGGTCCCCGGCGGCAAGGCGGAGGCGCCGCCCCCCAACCCCATCTACATCCACCCCGAGTCGCCCAACTTCGGCGCGCACTGGATGAAGGAGCCGGTCAGCTTCGCCAAAGTCAAACTCACCAACAAGACCAACGGCAACGGCCAGGTACGCAACGGGAAACGCTCGGTTTTTCCAACTTGGATTTGGGCAGCGCTCGTCTGCGCCGTGGTCTAACCCTGTTCCTCGTGCCCTCCAGATCATGCTCAACTCGCTGCACAAGTACGAGCCCCGGGTCCACCTCGTCAAGGTGGGCACGGACCAGCGCCGAGTGCTCACCTACCCCTTCCCCGAGACGCAGTTCGTGGCGGTCACGGCCTACCAGAACGAGGAGGTGAGCCCAGCGCAGCCCAGCGCTCTTTGTTTGAACATCCCTCTCTTGAGTGCGAATTTTAACCGTGTTTTGTTTGCCGCACAGGTGACGTCACTAAAAATCAAGTACAACCCGTTCGCGAAGGCCTTCCTGGACGCCAAGGAGCGGCCCGAGGGCATCTACCAGCGCGACTACGTGAGCACGAGCATCCCCAGCAGCCTGCCCAGCAGTCTGCCCAGCAGCATCACGCCGCCGACGCACACCTCGCAGTCCACCTACCCCCAGTGTGAGTCGGGCTGCCTGCCCTCCCCGGTGTCCCGGCGGTGTGCTTTGCCAGTTCGCTACAGCCGCCTCGATGTCCATGTTACAGACACCAGCTCGTGGCTCCTCCCCCAGAGCGGCGCCTACCCCTCCGAGAGGTACACGTCGCCGAGCTCCCCCGCGGCGGCGCTGCGGTCGCACCGGACCTCGCCGTACCCGTCGCTGGGCCACCAGTCCAGCCCGTCGCACGAGCACCACGCCGTCCACAGCGCCCACCCTTCCCACCCGCAGCAGACGGAGAGCAGCCAGACGGGCCACCAGTCCCACCACGTCCTCATCAAGGACTCGCCCATCCACTCGCCCACCCCTTCGCCCGCGCTCACCGGTAAGTGGCACGGCGTGGCACGGCGTAGCCCCGCCTCCGCGGGCAGCGCATGCGCCGACGATACCCCGCGCCCGGTTCAGCGCGGAGTAGTGCCGTCTTGCTAACATTGCGATTCGCCCTCCAGGCTACACGGACAGCGGCGTGTACGGCTCGCCCTACAGCTGGCACAGCTGGAGCGCGTCGCCGCCGCCCCCAACCACGGCGCAGGCCGTGCTGCCCGTGCCGTCGTCGTCGTCCAGGTCGACGCCCCCCACCGCGGACGGCAACGGGTCGCCGCCGCTGGGGCAGCCCCTGTCCGTGCAGCCGTCGCCCACCTCGGTGCAGACGCTGCAGCCGCTGTCGTCCCTGTCGCACGCCTCCGTCATCACCTGCCAGCCGGCCAGCTGCTCGCCCACGGGCTACCCCACCTGGCAGCACCTGTCTCCCACGCACAGCACAGGTCAGTGGAAGTCCGCGCAGCTTGGCCGCGCGCTGGTTCACCCTCTCGCCACGTCAGTTGGGCTGCCTACCCGCCCGGCGCCTCCCCGCAGTGTCGGTTGGGTTGCCTACCGCCACGGCGCTCGCATGCTAGGCGTTTTCTTTTGCGGCATTAACTTGAAACTGAAGGTGCAATGCATTGTTGTCTTATTTGCAGAGCTTCAGTACCTGCAGTACCCAGTGCAGTCGGAGTACATTCCCCTCTTTCCCCCGGACTACCAACAAATGTCCCTCCAGCCCACGTACCACTACCATCCAGGACTCACGGATGAGAAAGGGGACGAAAACCACAACAGTGAAACTCACCAGGGGGAGTCACATCACCACCAGACATCCCCTCCCCGGACTGACTGCTGGGGAAAGTCATCTCCTTCACATTCAGCAATTTAGGTGTATATTTGGTAAAGAATACTTTAAAGGCAATGTTTTCAGCTGAGACTGATGTGTCAGATCCTAATAATTTTTGGACAGTAAAAAAAACGAACTTCTTTTGTACATAAATATTTTCAAACTCCCTTTTACTTTTCTTTGGGTAAATTCCAATTTTGGTGCCAAAGTGACTAAGGACTTTTGAATAATAGATAATTAGTGAAAATATTGTTGTCCAGCAGAAACTGAATGTTCAGCAATAGATTTTAGTCATGATCTCTTTCTGTTTTAAGTACTGAAAGTGGCATACCCATAATGTACATGTGTAAATTATTTAACTTTACTTCACTCAGTAAACCAAATAGTTTGTTGCATTGATTGTGCCATCATGGCAATTGTAAATATAATAAAATGGTAATGATAAGAGATATTTATTTGAATTCTGTTGTCATCCTCATTTGCTTGCCTAGCATAAGCATAAATGAATTTCAAGCCAAGCACACAATTCAGATTTGATTGTTGTGAATGATGAGTGCAGTTGACAAGTCTTTGTGTATGAATATTCAAGGTTCAAGAGCCAACAAAAATTTAATGTTTTCATCATCTTTATTCCTCATCTACAGAGGCTTTTAATATCAGCCTTTTAAATAAAGCTTTAATAAAGTTCCATCATCGCACCCATACCCGCACAGACAAAGCCAAACATTCTTGTCCAACAAGATGTATGGTAATAACAGTTCAAAAATTTTATTTTCATTCATTAAAAAAAAGAAGATAAAATTTACAAAATTTGAAGCTAGAAAAATTATAAAAGAAATAATCTGGCCACTCCAAAACAGTTGGAAGGAGTCACAGTGACAAGGAGCAGAAACAGCAATTTGGTTAATCAGTCTATTGCATGTTGACCTTCGTCTTTCAGCATTACACTGGGAAGATGCTGCAATCCTATGCAGTCAGAAAAACCTTTATTTTCCCCTTCTCACTCTCAGCACTATCACAATGAAGTTTTAAAAACGAAACAAATCTAACAAGCCGCCACTCAGCTATTTAAGCCCTTATGTCTCCCAAATATAACATAACTTATAAGAAATGTGAAAAAATAAATGCATAGTTCTTCCAACAGCTTATCCAACTCGCCCGCCAATAACACTCCTTCCCGTCAAATAACACCACAAAAAAATTGACACAGCGTCTACATAAAAAACATTAGATGATGCAGATGCTAATAGAGTATAAGGACATTAAGTTGAAACATACAACGTGTATTGCCCTAAGGGTTGTCTTCAACGGCGATCACGGTCGTCACTTCCAGTGCAGTCACGGCTGATGTGGCCAGTTTTTCCACACGAGAAGCACTTCTTCATCGAGCCCTCGGGGCAGTCGCGGGCAATGTGCCCAGTGCGATTGCAGTTGTAGCAAGATGGATCATTCGGACTCTGGGCGCAATCACGAGAGATGTGACCAACACCGTTGCATCTGTAGCAACGATCTTGCTCCTCCTTGCACTCTCGCGCAAAGTGCCCGAATCGGTTGCACTTGTAGCACTTCTCGCGGCCTCGCCCATAGCCATCATCATCGCGAGAGCCACCTCTGCCAAAGCTTCTACTTCCTCCATAGCCTCCTCTATATCCACCTCCTCCTCCACCTAGGTACCACACAGATCACACGACACTGTCAATTTCACATTCATTATTTCACAACAAAAGTCCTGGGAGGCACACCACTGCTCCACAATTCAAGGTAACTTCCACTACGTCTCTAAAAGCAGGCCTCTGTTATCTTGTGGACAGATGTGAGGCATGCAACATGAAATTTAAAATGTACTCATATATTTAGAGGAAAAGAAAATGCAAAATTAATTATGTCAACCACTTAAAATTCAGTAAGATTGACACAAAAAAACAAGGATGAATCAATCAAGAAAAATAGTTTTTGTGACTTTTCATCTGTCCAAAATTTAAAATTATGAAAGGCTTAAGTAATTGTCAAAAAAATGAAACAAATTGGAAGCCCCTAGTCTTGGGGTGTAAGTAGGAGCACTCCAGCAAAAATTAAAAATTAAGAGATAATGAAAACGTAATTGAAAGCATGCAGAGAGTATTGAGTAAACATGATTTAAAAATTTCACACTTTGAATCAATTTTGTAACTTGGTTAGCATATTTGAAATGCATAACCTAGATTAAGAAAATTTTGTTGGTCTTTTTTTCCAGAAACTGAAATGAATCTTTTTGAAATTAATTTGTTCTTTATGAATCCTGGAAAAAGTGCATTGCCACTAAAATTATTGTGCAAAAATAATTCAGAAGGCACATAAAACTCACCACAACCTCTTTATTTTTCAATTATATTTTGTTTAAGAATCAAATGCTAAGGACATTTTGGTTAAATTTGTGAGTCCTGTTGAAAGCCATCTTTAACTTTAGCAAAATATTGTACTTCACGATCCGTTGCCAAGCCACACCTCAAGTAAAATCCTTTCCACACCATCCTCCATATCTTTATGCAATCAGAGTTCTCATATCATACCCTTTCAGTTAGGACTCGACTTCAGACTCCAATGTATTCAATCCTCCAGTGCTCCACTGACGCACATCTAACACCACACGCATCACTATCAACAGAGTGCCTTCGTTCCACAAACCACACATTTTCTCCTCCAACTTTTGCCATTTCTTGAGCTACGCCCAGAGTTGCCTTTGACAGTTGCAGTTAGGTTATGACTTGAAAAAAAAAATTCACTGATGAAACGTGTATCTTGTTTGTTCTCTAAAAAATCCAGGTGCATTTATAAAAAGAATTATGATTTATGGTATGAATTATTCAGCTTGAAAACAAAGATTTGTAATGTACATCATAACTTAAATGCACTGATATCAAAAGAAAGAGACCAAGCCAAGACAAGAATGAACGCCATTATTCCCGCTACAATAGACAAAACTTCCTGAATATGAATCAAAATTTTCTTTTAAATCTTGAAGATAAATTACTGTAACTCCAAAACCCAAACATGCCACCTCAAACTTCAACAAGACAGATTCATGTTCATTTGCAATCAGCAGAATTCACGAATTGAATCTTAGAACCATAGAACCAAACCATAAACACTCAAACAAAATCCAGTGTTTGCACTTATGACTCTTGGTTCCATTGATAACAATTCCAGTGACTTCGTTGCCCAAAAGAAAGCTTGAATCCAACTCAGCTCCGTAAAGGGACAGACAGCATTAAAGTTAACACGCACCAGCCTTGCCCATCACCGTAAGTGGTACAAATCTGCTAGTTATATTCCATTCAGTACTACAGTTATAAAGGAATAAATCTGCAGCATTGACCACTGAACAGAAATGATTCAGAGGAGCTCAAAAACAAAACAAGAAAGTTTTGATCACCTCCCATCTACACAAATACTGGCAACAAGATACATGTGCTCTCAACTAGCCTCCAACAATAAGATTCTGATTGCCATAGATTTTTATTTTGAACAATAATTAAAACTAGATAGAATTTTTAAATGGTTTGTCAACATATAAATAATAAGTGTAGCAAAAAATAAAATCAAAATATATGCAAAAGATATTGTACAAAAAAAAGTAAATTACCTACAAAATCAGGGGCTCTTAAAAATATTAACCATGCAACATGAACAACTTAAGAATTGAAGCTATAAGCCAATCTTCTAAATTATAAAGTAATGCTACCAGGAAGAAATTAATGGTTCCTATCATTGTTATTTATAATTTTTCATTTGAGAGACATGCAGACTGGCACGAGGTTGTACAATGCAATTTATCTGAAGCAATAGCATAGGTAAGACAGCATATACAGAAGCAAATGAGTACACTCATGCAAGTGAACCAAGTTTCTATCCAGGTTTTTCATCAGAAGGCAGGATAATTTTGATCATGCATCAAACAGGAAGCGTAGGTGCCTTTGGCCTTTATATAAAGGAAATAAAGCATGATATTCATGTCAAAGACACACAAGGTTATAAAGTGCAAGGCATACAATTAAAACATAAACCACCCTAAAAGTATCACAAGTTAATCACCACCAGGCAACAAGCCATAACATAAAATACAAGAATGTACTGACACCGTATCCATTACGCTTTCCCCAAGATCAACTCTGTTTTTAGCCTTATGACCAAGGTTGGGCCATAAATTATGACACTCAGTGAGGAAGTATCGCATGTGGAATTCATTTGGAGTTTATCAAGGCGTTCAGTCCTATTGTTCTTTCAGTGTTTCAAGAGTCTTTCATAAATGAACGCATTTTTCAAAAATGGAGTGATGCTTCAATGACACCTTGTATGCAGTACAAAATATATGGAATAGGAGGTCAGAATATGCATTGGCCGCGTCATCGGTTGCACCGAAAGAAGGTAAACATTTACTATCAGAAAGTAATAAGCTTGTAAAAAAATTGAAGTACAGCATTCACTGAAACATACGTTTTTACATATGTCATCATAACTCTTTAGTCCTCTTTGTTGTGGAAGAATAACAGAGGCTGGCAAAAGCAAACATGGTAGTTAAATGAAAAATTAAAGGATTCATACTCAAAGAGCTCAAAACCTACACATTTAAAAGTGTTCTAGACGTAAGAGGATGTTTGATTTGGCCTTAAGGGCTTAAAGGAGAGCAGGAATGTTATGACTAACTTAACACGATATGGCGGCTGTGCCTTAACGTGAAAACATACCTCCTCCTCCGTTCTGGGGGCATTCCCGGGCGAAGTGCCCCATCTCGTTGCAGCGGTAACAAACGGAAGAGCTCATTTTGAAAGGGTGGAGCCTTTCGAGCGGATTGAATGCGACCTCTTGGAAGTAAAGGATTGACACCCCGTCAGAACGGCGCAGAACGCTTTCGCCTCCTCGGCTAGGGATGGGATGGCGTCGTCTGGGTTCGTTGCCCTTTGCCCCCTTCACTCACCTTCCTCCTACTTTCCTTCTTTTCTTGCAGACCGACAAAACGACACGACAACATGCAGCAAAAAGGAACCGTGCAGAGGCCCGTAAGTGAACCGAAATAGCAATTAACGCAAACGTTTCAATTGAAATATTTTTTTGGGGGATAATAAGAAGTTGTTATTCCTGGGGAGACGAATATCCAGAAAGGCATTTGTTGCCTTGGGTTGGCAATATGTCTGACAAATGAAGGCGCGCATTCCAAGCGGTGCGTCAAGGAAGAGTCCCATTTGACGAGCACGTACGAGGGAGATTTAAGTTTTAAACCCAAAGCCATTTTAAAACTCGCAATTCTAATTAAACGACACTCCGTGTTGCTCCAAAGCCCGTTCTGATCAGCAGAATGGTTTGTACGCATCACCCAATGTGCGCGCTACGCTCAAGCTTCACCGACTCGCCACCAGATGGCGCGGAGGAAGCTTCATTGCGCGAGACGTCAAACTTTAACACGATACAGTTAATTGTAAATAGATTATTAACGAACGCGTTGGCAATCAAACGAGAGAATGAGCGTTTTGCAATCGATTGATACCAAACATTTGCGGCACAACCACTCCCTGAAACGACCGCACTGGAGCAAACCTCGAGCTTATCCGCTAACGTTATCATAGTGCAGACTGGAGGTATATATTGCCTAGTCGCCACGGCTGTCCTCGTACTCGCTTCGGCGGTACATATACTAAAATTGGAACGATACAGAGAAGATTAGCATGGCCCCTGCGCAAGGATGACACGCAAAATCGTGAAGCGTTCCACATTTTTTGGCAATACGTACCCGGAATCTTTTCCTCACTACACATAGTAGCCATGTCTATTTCTGTGGTCCTGACTGATGACGCCTTTTCTCCAGTACGAACGGAATTTGAGAGAGGCACGAAGACGCCATTGGACCGTTGAATGGTTAGTCCAGCTACACACCCACCCTAAAACGTAACCCTAACGTAAAATGAGTGTCTCGTTTAGCGCCGGCTTGAGGGCTGCATCGCAGAACAGCCGCGCCGGACGTGTGGCCGGCCTTCCGGGCGCTCCCCGTCCAAGAGCCCGAGAAGGGATCCTTGCCCAAGAAACAGGCCCAGTCAAGTCGAAGTCCCAAAGTGATTTAGCATAAAATACGCACAATGCGAAAGGGGGCGGGGGATCTGTCACCGCAAAGCAGCAAGCAGCTGCAGTGGCGTGCATGTGGCGAAGGGTTCTTTCTCAGCAACATGCACGCCCCAGTCTCCTCGCATGTACCCTCATTTCGGCCTTGTGGTTGTTGTTTTCGTTGTTGTTCTTTTTTACTCTCCAGAGTTGGCAACGCTGTTGTTGGCGCTCCTGCTACCCGGCACCACATCTAATGGATTTTTAATGCACGGGCGGTATCTCTCCTTCGGCTCATCTCTCTCTCGTTCGGTATCTCGGTTGGCGGTGGTGGGTGGATGGCACCGCGAACAAGGAGCAGGGAGGACCCTCTCCCCTCACTCCCCCACCCCTCCTCCCTCCTCACCATGGGCTATCATCGTGTCAGCGTATCGAGTTCGGCCAAGTAATGATCTACGTGAAAAACGCGCGCACCAAAGTCTCAGTAGCGGTTTTGGGTCTCCAAAAGGAAGCCCTCGAGCCGGCTTGGCTGCCTACCTCCCCGGCGGCTGGGCGGGGCTCCCCCCGACCGCCGGACCGACTCACTGGCCAGCCAGCCTGCGTGCGTGCGCGTGGTCCTACACAGCAAGACGATCAATTCCTAACTGTCCTTTCGAATTTCCGCTGTTCAATTTTCTCAGGAAAAGGTTCTTAGTTTCGCGTAGCTGTAGGCTCGTGTAAATGGGCAGAACCCGAGTTGCGGGCTGAAAAAGTCACAGGCGGCTTGTAGTTCGGCGCAGCGAAGGAAGGCTATTTTGGCTGCAGCGGGAGCGGGAATGGCTCGGCGCGGCGTCGCGACGCCCAGCTACGCGCAGCGACGCGCGTGTCTGCACTCGACACTCGATGTCGCGCTTCGAGACGCGCTTCGAGACACGGCGACGCCCCCCTCCCTCCATCATCGCCACCCCGTCTGCGAGGGGCTGCCGTCGTAATGCATTCTGGCAACGACGAGAAGAAATCATCCGGTACAGTTCCGATTTACACCCATAATTTTTCTTGGTGCGACCGATTTGCTCACGGCCACCGGTACAGTAGTAGTCAGTCGAACCGCCCTCGGACCCACCCCTCGCACTATCTCTTTCCTCGTCCTTCTCTCCCTCTCTCTCTCTCTCTCTCTCTCTCTCTCTCTCTCTCTCTCTCTCTCTCTTTCTCCCTCGTTCCTTCCCGTTCCTTCCCTCGTTCCTTCCCTTCCCCGAGGTGCGTGAGTAGACCCTGACCGTCTCGAGACCCAGCCGGGATTGCGTTGCGTGCCCCCGCGTCGCCTCGCGTGCAACACTTTGGAGATGCGTGTGGCTGCGGCACTGCATGCGTCTGGCAGCATGGCAGCTCGGAGCAGGGAGGTCAATTTGGGCCGCGTACGTAGACAGGAGTGCAATTTCAGATTACCCGTCACACCTGAAGATGGGGTCTTTACCTCTGAATGAGCCAAACGCGCATGATGATATTTTGATTACTGTGCCTTGCTTCAAGTCACCAAGTGAGACCGAGTGGTCCGGGATCGGTTCCGGAACACCCCCTTCGCACCCCTTCTGTGACTCTTTGTTTGTCCTTATCATCCCCTTTCTCCGCCTCCCCCTTCTCGTTTCCGCCGAAAATTCCTTCGTTTTGAAACCACACTGGCGGTGGTTGTTTTCGTTTTGGTGGCTGCGGGGCGTCATGTCATAATGCAGGCAGCCGCTGCGGGGCTGCCAGGCTGCCGATACGTGAAATGGACGCAGTGACACGGAGCCGCGGAGCCACGCCGCCGGGCCTAACGACGCGGCCGCGCCCTGCACCTCCCCGATGCACCAGCCTCTCCCCCCCCCCTCCCCTTCGCGCTGGCTGCTGTGCTGTGCCGCCTCGGGGGAATGGGATTTCGTTCCACTCATATTGCTCAATATTGGTCCACCCCGGTGCAGGCAGGCCGGGCCCGGCCCGGTCGTCCAGTGGCTGGGGCCGTAAAAAAAGACTCTGCATGGCCCGGACCCCGGACGGCCCCAGAGAGCTGCAATTAAACACTGCGATGGCCGCCGCGCTGTGGGCCTCTAGCGCTGCAGTGTAGCGACGCGGTGCAATTGCGAGCAATTGGCGGCCCTCTGCGAGTCCAGGCTGCACGTCGGGATGCCCATCGGGATGCACATCGGGACGCACATCGGGACGCACATCGGGATGCACATCGGGACGCACATCGGGACGCACATCGGGATGCACATCGGGACGCACATCGGGACGCACATCGGGATGCACATCAGGATGCAGCGCAACGCGCGTGTCGCTCTCCGGGGCCGTGGCCGGAACACGGAACCGTCGGCCACTGGCTCCAAAAATTTTGAGCGCAGGTGGACATTATTCCGAAGGCCTTGGCTGTGTGGGGCCCTCGACTCCAGCCGAAGCAGCCAAGGCTGGCGCGTCGTGTCCAAGGCAGAGCAGCCTGCAGCCGCCGCAACCATGGCAGTGCACTGCAGGCGGAGAGGGGCCAGGCCGGCCAGGGCGGTGCAGCCTGCACTCCCTGCACTCCGTGCTGCAGGCGGGGCCCTCGGCGGGGCTCACGGCGGGTCTGGCGGCGTGCGAGGGAAGGGAGGGGCAGGAAGGAGACGGTGTACGAACGGGTACGGGTGCGACCTTGGGCCTCGGACACGCCGCCTCGGCACGCGGGGTCCAGGCAGTCCAGGCAGGCAGTCCAGCCAGGCAGTCCAGGCCCGCCTTGCCTTAGCCTGCAGGGGGCCGGGGGGCCCAAGGCGGGGAGCGGAGGGGCGCGGGGCCGAGACGTCGGCGCGAGGGCAAGGGGCGGGGTGGCAGGGCGGGCGGTTGGGGCGGGGGCAGTGGCCTGCAGGCTGCAACCATGCTGCAGCGCTGCCGCTGGACCGAGGAGACCGAGGAGACCGAGACCGGCACCGAGGCGTTGCTCGCGCTGCTGTGTTGTTGTGCCCTCGCCGTGCCTTCGCTTGCGCCTTGCAGTGCCGAGTGCCGCCGGCCCGCCGGCCCGCCAGCGCAAGCTGTGCAAGAAGACAGAAGACCGCGGGGGCCGTCTGTGGGCCGTCTGTGGGCCGTCTGTGGGCCGTCTGGTGGCGGAGGGCTGGCTGTGGGCCGCTGGGCCGGCAGATCGGCCGGCAGGGACGCCAGCCAGACAACAAAAGGGCAAACACGAGACACGCTCTGCTTATTCGGCCGAAGCGAAGCGAAGCGGCCGTTTTCCGATGCACGAATGCGCCAATGCGCCAAAGCGCCTCGATGCGCTCGCGAGCGCCACAGCGCGACATCGTGACAGCGTGACACACGGGGCCTTGTCACACTGTCACTGGAGCCGCGCGGACGCGACGTAGACGTGACCAGAGGTGACGCGGACGTGACCCAGACGTGACGCGGACGTGACGCGATGCTCGCTGGCACTAGTGGCCTGCTGGCCCCGCGGAGCGTGACGATCCAAACAAGAGGAGACGGAAGAAAGCGAGCGTCGCGGCGCGTCGCGGCGCGTCGCGGCGCCGAGGAAATGGAGGAAAACAGGAGCAAAAACAGAAGGAGCGACAGCCACAGTGCTATCCTGGAGGCGGGCTGGGCGCCTCGCCAGCGTGGGTAGGCAGCCCAACCGACGCCGGCGCGCTGCTTGCTGCTGCTGCTGCTTACGGCACACCCTGTACCCGTACCCGGTACCTGCGGCGTACAGGGTACCTGTCCGCAGCGAGATGGCCTGTAATCGCAGCCGCTGGAAGGGGTACGGGTACCTCGGGTACGTTGGGTACGTAGGGTACCTCGGGTACCTTCCGCCGCCCTGCGCAGCCCTGCAGCCACAGGCCGCCACAGGCCCTCAAGGACACCCCCTCCACTTGGGCCCTCTGCCGGCGACGGCGT